AAAGTGCTTTCACCCACTCACTGAGCCAACTCACAGGCAGAGATTTTAATGCACTTCCCCCGCCAGTCCTATCTTAAACTCTCCTCTCCTTTTCCCACCCTCCCCTCCCATCCCCTTTCTTCTTCTTTCTGCCCATTGCAGAAAGGGACCACCATCTTGCTATTCATCTAGCGGATGCTCACCAGCACAGCTCAGGCTTGGGGCTGCAGAAGGAGATTCAGTTTTGTCTAGTGGTGCTGAGAAACATATACATAGCACACAGGGAGTGGTCCTCCCCGGGATGAGGCTGGAAGGAGGAGCATCTTGTGCAACATGGTCTTTGTTACCAGTGCCTCAGCCAGGGAACTGAGCAGGAGGCACAGTATCAGATTTAGAACCCACACATTCCAAGCATTGCACACAATTATGCACGGGAGCCCGTAGGACCCTCGGAAGCAGAAAATGGAATTGCTATCAAGCAAGTGGGTCACTTTCACAGGAATCCTTGGCAGACACCAGGGGTGCTGAGATTCCTATAGTGCACAGTCATGGGGAAGTCCATCTCATTAGCTCACAAGGTATCGGTGGCAGGCAGGTTAGCAGCCTGGGGTCTCATGGGGAGTCCCCACTATGATCTCTGCTTTCCTACACCCTCTCGTGATAGCTCTCCAGGGCTCTCATGGGAGTGGGTGTCACCTGGACCCTTAACCTTAATAATCTCCTTTCCACCCAGGATTCCACATGCACAATATGAATATGTGTTTCTTTCTACCCATTGTCAAGGAGCAGGGTCCCAGAGAAACAAGAGGTGGTGAACCAGAGTGGGAGGAATATCGTGTGGAAGCTCCAGAGACAAGGAGGGGCTCAGGAGGGCCTGAGCAGAGGAGGGAAGGAGGAGTCAGGGAATGAAGTACTCAGGATTTGGAGCTCAGGACTTTGCACTGCCCTGGAGACCAACCCTGGCCACCAGAGAACTGTGAACAAAGCAATGTCCTGGGCAGCTGAGCTGTGGGCAGTAGTTTGAAGATGCACAGACTTGCAGAGCACTCCAGAATGGGGAAAACGGTGAAGGCTGCTGAAGGGCAGACTAGGGGGGCAGGTGTGAGAACCCCAGGAGATGGGGGTTTATGGGCACATGAGCAGAGGAGCCAAGGTGCTGCACTGGGCTGAGATGTGGCTCTGTTCTTAGAGCGCTTGCCTGCCATACACGAGGGCCGGAGTTTCACGCCCAGTACCATGTAAATCCATGGTGGTAAGGAGGGCTGAAGGAAGGAGAACCAGCAGAGCGAGGTCATCCTCCACTCCACAGTGAGTTCGAGGCCAAGTCAGCCTGGGGGTACATGAGACCTTATCTTCTCAAAATAAAAGAATAAAGATAAAGTCTTTGTTCTTAAAGGTGCTGGTGGTGCACACCTTTAGTACCAGCACTTGGGAGGCAGAGGCAGGTAGATCCCTGTGAGTTCGAGGCCAGCCAGGTCTACAGAGGGAGTTCCAGGACAGCCAAGGCTACACAGAGAAACCCTGTCTTGAAAAACAAAAGAATAAAAATAAACATGAAAAAGATGCTGCTGTGGTTTGATTCTTGCGAGTAGCTGGATGTTGTTCTATTTTGTGGCGGGACACTTGGAAGAGCCCAAAGGTGGTAAAATGATGAGTCTGTTTTGGACAAGAGAGACTTCGGGAGCTGGGATGTGGAGGTCACTGAATCTATGGTCAGGACCTGGGGACTTAAGAGTCAGATGTGGGATCCTGGGTGGAAAGGAGACTATTAAGAATAAGGGTCCAGGTGACACCCTCTCCCATGAGACCCCCTGGAACAATGGTGCTGTGGAACCACTGTTGTACACTGTAAATGTGCATTGCTCTCATGGTTAATAAAAAGCCAATAGCTGGGCAGGAAGAGATTGGGTGAGGCAACCTGACACAGAAAGAATTCTGGGAGGAGATAGGGAGTGGCCAGCCAGATGCAGGGGAAGCAAGACGAGAATGTAGCACTGAGAAAAGGTACCAAGCCATGTGGCTAAATATAGAAAAGAATTATGGGTTAATTTAAGTGTAATAGCTAATTAGTAATAAGCCTGAGCTACTGGCAAAGCATTTATAAGTAATTTCAAGCCTCTGAGTCAATTATCTGGGAAGCAGCTGCCAATGTGGGAACAGGCAGGTGGGGCAGAAATGACTGTTTACATATGGCACCCAAACGTTCGGCAAGAATTTCCTCATAAAGCCTGAAAAAGCTTTAAAAAAGGATTCTAAACACATGAAAACAGAGTTAAACTGGGTTTCTTGGTAGCCTCTTTTTCTTGGGTAGGCTCTGTTTGCTAAGCAGTGAGCAGAGGCACAGCTCCTTCAAGACATGGCTTCCTGACCCAGTGATAGTGACAAACACTGCCCTGCTCGCTACCAAACACTCAGATGGAGTTTATGAGCAGTGGGTGGCACACTACTCGGTGGCAGCGTGAACCCAAAAACTTCCCAGAGTTGAGGCAGTAAATATGATTCCCAGAGCTGGCAGTAAACACACCTCCACCATAAGACTAGCCTCTCAAGGACCCAAGAAGCGGGCATCCTAGACACATCTGCTTAGCAGCTTAAAGGCTCATGTGGTCAGAAAAGGATAGAGATAGGTAGTAAAGACAGATTCAGATGAAAATATAAAAATAAAATAAAAATCTCTAAACGGTTTAGAGTGTGTTTAAAAATATACATAGGCTTGGGAGAGAAAGGAGAAGGTAAAGACAGTCATAAAAAGACTATATAGTTTTAAAATAATACAGTAAAGCTCTTAAAGAGGGAATAAAGTAATATAAAAGTATTAAATATTTATATTTATGTGGCAATATAAAAAAAGCCACATAAAGATGGAAAATATACAGAGAGTCTGGATATACATAATAACTGTATGTTATTGTGCTGTCTTTTAAAATTTTTGACTGCTATGAGACATTTGATTATAAAAATTGCTGGATTAAATCACTCTATATATTTTAAAATATCTTGACTCCAAAATTTAGGTCAAAAGGTATGTCACTTTGGGAGAGGTTGTGTTTTTGTTTCCACAGGAAATGAGAGGTTACGGATACATATTGGGGTTAAGGAAAACCAGGTTTGATCCAGGAAGACCCCCTGAAATCTTGACTACCGACATGGGAAAATAAACCTAAAGTGACTACAAGATGTAACATATATTTTACCTGCTAAGACATAAAACAAAGAATTATCTTTGACTGGATTATGTACAATGCACAATTTATATTTGTATTAATACAGACATGTATGTTACTTTTAAAAATTTATATATTTTCAGAGCAAGGGAACCACACACCAATGAAAACAATGGCCCACATGATCTAGCATTCAAAACAGCTTCAAAGCTGCTAAGATGATTCAGCCTCACAAAATACTACATCCAAGACTTAAAAACTATCCTAAATTTTCTCAGAGTCCCAAATAATATCACCAGCACACAAAATCAAAAGGAAGTAGTTTAGAGAACTATGCCCACATTCCCAAAAATAAACTATGGTTATTTGTCATTGTTTAGTTGTTGGTTACAAGTTGTTATTGGTAATGGTCAGAAAAAAAGCTGAGCAAAGGAGATTAGATTCAGGGATCTTATTATAAAAACAAAAGGGGGATATATAAACTACAGGATAAAAGGGTAGATTACTGATTCTACTTTAATAAAAACAACAACTATTAATAACATATTTAAGTTGTTACATATTAATCTTACATATTTTACATTGGTATGGATTTTGATTTATTGATACAAATTTAAAGTTAATTCTGTTATACTGTATGTACATTTCTAGTCTTGTTTAAGGTATTATGTTTATGCAACTCATTTAAAAATGAAATATATATGGGCTGGAGAGATAGCTCAGAGGTTAAGAACACTGGCTGTTCTTCCAGAGGTCCTGAGTTCAATTCCCAGCAACAGCATGGTGGCTCACAACTATCTGTAATGAGATCTGGTGCCCTCTTCTGGTGAGCAGGCAGTACATGGTATACATAATAAATAAATAAATAAATAAATAAATAAATAAATAAATAAATAAGTCAAAAATGTAATATATAATTAAGAAATATAGATTAACAGTCATCTATAATAGTCAAAATTATAGTCATGTTAGAAATTTTTTCAAGGTCATACAGAGATATATTTCAAATAAATAGATAGTCCTCAAACACTTTAAAGACCTACAGAATATGGCATTTAATATGTTTAATAACCTAAGGCATTTCATGACAGTGAGACATGTCTGCTTCTGACAGCATCAATCTACTTCAGAGATGATGGGCATCAAAGAAACTCCATGTGGAGTGGTTTTTTATGGCAAAAGCTAGCCACAAGGGCAGAAAAGCTGCCCTTGCCTCAATTGTAGACAGTATATTGTTCAAACTGGACCAGCAGGATACAAGAAAGGTGACTGTCGA